TTTCTTCTTCATTTCCGCGTCCGTCAACGACATTTGCCCCTCTTTTTCGTCTTCTCCATATTCCTCTCCTTCTGATTCTGCTTCTCCTCCCTATTTTTACTATTTCTCTCTATTCCTCCTTCTCTTTTTCTTCTTCTGTTTTCAGTCCCTCTTTTGTCTTTCTTCCCCTCGTCTGTCCCTTTCCTATTTCTCCTCCCTTCTAATGCGTTCTCATCCAGCTTATGTCAGGAGTCCTACAATATGACTCTGTCATCCTAGGTAGAGTCCCTTCATACTGAGAGTCAAGACAACACCCCCTCATGGAGTCACAAACGGGAATAAAAATTACAGAAATTGAACGTTTTTTGTAATCTTTGATTGGCCCATTCTCAAATTCCTTTCTCCGTTCCTTCTCTCATTCCATTCGTTCCTTGCCGAACCCGTAATTCCCTGGTCCATTCCAGATCATAATCTTTGCAATCGGTGAAAATGTAATCTTTATTCCCGTTTGTGACACTATGAAGGCCTAAAATACGGGAGCCAATCAGAAATTAATTCACATTGTCTTGACTTTCAGGATGAAGGGACTCTAGATTATCCTAATTCTTTCTTTAATTCTAAAATGTCGAATTTTTCTAGGAACCTGGCAACGTTGGCTGGTCCCACGGGGAATTCCGGGGGTCCCCACCCGCACGGAGCGCGCTCTGCCGGAAGCGGCGGCAACCGCCTGTCACGCGTTCGTTACGGGAGTCCCGCGCGGCGCGAATAAATCAAACCTCGAGTGCACGCTGCCGGCAATGTTGCCACTTTTCATCCTGAAATAAACCCAATTTAATTTGCTTCTTTAGGAAAAACGGCGATTAGCTTCGGGTTTCGGCAACGGTCGTCGCGCGTGTATTATTAAAAGTTTCGGGCCCGCGCACGAGAGGGTTGTTTTTGGGGAGATGTTGAAGGGGTTGTTGCTCGGCGTGGGGGAGGGGGCCGAGGGAAATTCAGAGAGAAGTGTCCGAGTCCGAAAGGGCTGAAAAAGGTGGAGGAAGAATTAATTATTAGGTTGTTCACAGGGTCGGGAAACTGCGAAAAGTTAAGGGAAACTTTTTTACCCACAGATGTTAAGGAAAACAGGGAAATGTGGCAGAATTCAAGGAGGTGAGCTGAAAAAATGTACGTTCTTAAGATTTTTTCTGTATTTTAGTTAAAGATCCTCTCGCTTGCAAGCGCAATAGTGATGTCATATATATTTTAGAAAAACCGTTTGAGGGTTTTAAGGTGAATTTTAAAATTTTTGGTGGTGGAAACCGTTTCTTTTTTTTAATCAGTGTAGATTTTGTATTTTCAAAAATAAAAATAAGGGGACGTCCCTAAATTACGTGACGCTTCACTCAGAATCATAGCCCAAGTTTCGAATATTTTGTGGCCAGCACATGTTTCTGGAATTTCACTCGACATTCATGCAATAGTTACTGGAGAGAAAATAACTTTTCACCAAATATAGGGTATATTCTTAATTTCTAGCAGTACTTCTTACTTCCGCAAATCCACACAAAGGAAAAAATATCGAATGGAGATTTTGATCGGACTAACTTTAATAATGTACACGAATAACAGCCAATAATATATCTCGGAATAATAATATTTGTAAGATTCCGCTGTTATACAAAATTTAAGACAATAGTTTCCAAAAATTAAACTGTCGTGGTGTCATCTTGTTGAAAATTAGGAAGAAAGAAGATGACGGAAAATACTAATTTAAAGGTGTTTTATCTATACACAGGGAATTGTAGTTCCATATTATAAAATGCTTATCAGTCACACCACTGTTCTTCATTATCCTAGCGGTCTCATGAGGTCTCGATACACGATCAAATTTCCGAATCGATTACCATCAAAGTTTTGGGAGTCATCAGTCTTGAAATCGTTATTTTGCTTAGTTTTAACATGAAAACTTCTTAGAAATGTTTCGTGTGGCAAGAAATGACGAATGGTGGCACTCCTTTCTGATCAAAATTTGACGGCCCGACCAATTTTGATCAAAGAGGACTGTTCGAGGACTGGATCATGTATCCAGACTAGAGACAAGAGACCCTCCACTGGTATCTTGGCAATGGTGGAAGCTTTTACTTTCGGTACTTCAACATTCTACTGTTGACTTACTTACATGGTTGATGTCTAACAACTTGCAAACAAACCAAATTTTGGGAAACTTGTTTGGCTCATGACGTCACTCGAAGCTCATCATCCACCATGTAGGTAGGTCAACAGCCGAAATCAGGGTGATGACTGTTGCTCCCTTATAATTGTCCACAAGGATTGTTGAATCTCCGAAAGTAAAAGCTTCCACCTGTCGCCGAGAGGCCAGTGGAGGGTCTCTTGTTCCTGGTCCACTTTTCTGATGTCTATGGATTTGGCTGGACGGAATTGGGCGGTGGCAAGGGCCTCGGTGAGAAAGTTGTGGTCGTGGCAGGATTGGTATCGTTTACTTGCGAGCCGGGCAATAACTTCTTCCAGGCCCCGTCAGAGAGGCTGAACAGCACGACGGCGTGGATAAACAGGACAAACAGGAAAATTCCCAGCAGCAGTATGCGGTCCGACGTAACCCGCCATCTTCGTTTGCTTCCCAAACACTGATAAACACCTTTTTCCACTAAATTCTCCCTCATGGCCGACTCGGCCCACCTTAATGTCCTATTCCGAACTTGTATCGACGCTGATCAACCAGATTTAGATTTTGAATACGCAGTTAGATTTGCAGAAATGTGACAGAAATGCTTGCGTTCTCAGAAACAAGTGTTTGATACTAGAGCGCAGAGGGGTGCTATGTGATTATTATTTTTTTTTTTTTAAACATGCCAAAACAAATTAAACCAAAGTTACGAAGGTTTGAAGGTCCCAGTTCTAAAAATGTAATTTTACGAGAAAAAAGCTGTTTAAAATAAAGAGTTCGGGGCACTGCGGGGACACTTAAAGGGTTACTGCGAGATAGGAACACTACGCGACGTAAGAAGTTAACAATAAGTTAAAGGAATGAAGAGTATTGAGAATGTCGTATCGGAACCGTTTTTCTTTTGTTTTCGTAACTTTTGAATGCGAGTGAATGGCTTGACCCAAATTAGATGGGGAATAGAGCATGAAAATGGGGAAAAGGAATAATTCGTGTTGAAAAATTCTACAAACAACTGATAAGAGATATATCTTAACACTGGGTGATAAAATTAGTGCTCATTGTGCTCAATACCGTAAAGACACAATAGAGGTACAGCCACAGTCTTGCTGTTGCCAATTCGACCGCAGTGAGGAAAACGCCGTATAAATATTCGGACGTCGACCATTGGCGGATCCGGCAAATTGGCAACATTGTTTTTTGCCATTTACATCTATGGAAATATGGCGATTCTCGGAGGGGGCAGGTGCTCCGACAAAAATCGATTGCTCCATATAGGTTCAAAAGCAGAGGGAATCCGGTGTTGTCAAATTCCTGGATCCGCCTCTGATGCAGACAAATTTCACCTATTAAAATACGAATGGTCCGTGACCCTTGTGATTTTTTTCGTATCAAGTTTTCAGTGAACTTTTTCGCCATTTCTTTGAAAACTCGTATTTCATTGGAAGATATTTGGCATCGCCTAAAGGTTCATACGGCGGTTTTACTCAGCACGGCAGAGTAAATAGCAACTTTATTGCGCTCCATGGGTGAATTGAGTACATTAATAGGGACAGTATGTCCACTTCGGTATCCACCTCTGATTCGCCCAGCCATCTTAGGTTGAATTTGGGTCGAATGGAGCCTTTCTAGGACCCATACCTACATGGTGGAAGCTTTAAGATAATGTAATACAAAATTACTCAAAATGTAGTTTTCTTCGCTTTTTGCAACGAGAAATTTACCCAAATGCACTATTGCGATTTATTTGCTTACATATTTTTATGGCTAATCGTGTGCAATTTTCGAGAAAAATCATCCTTGTAGTGAGGTTGGCAGCAAGTGCGGTCGGTGATAACCGTCAAAAGTCGTCAATGACCCCCCTCCCATCCTCAAAAACCAAAAGAAAGCACCGCCTTTTTTTGGGTCCTAAGCCCCTCCATGGCCCAGTAGTCATACTCTCTCTATCAAGGTACACTGAAAAAAATATTGGTAGAATTCACCATTCCTTCACGCTTTATTTCACACAGCGTCAATTCAGAGTCAATTCTGCCAGAAGAAAGGTAAACGTTACTACGTATATATTGGTACAGGTAACTGTTCCTCTGGCTGAATCGACTTAAAGATTGCTAAAATTTACACGGAAGAAAAATTAAATGTTGATTTAGCATTTTTACTGTTAAAAAGATGTCCGACAAGTTTCAAATGCTGATTTTACAATACAAAAATGCTAACATAACATTTTAATTTGTACGTTTTGCAGTGGGCGTAGTTACGTTAGCATTTGTTAAAATGTAAAATCAGCATTTTAAACTTGTCGGACATCTTTTCAACAGTATAAATGCTAAATCAACATTTAATTTCTTTCCGTGTACCATTCCTTCACGCTGGGTGAAATACAGCATGGAGGAATGGTAAATTCTACCAATCTTTTTTTCAGTGTACTCTAGGATGAAAGCATAGAGTACATAGAGTCGTAATGTAAGTGGGAGAGCTGGCGCCACTTTTAAGCATTTTCCATGTCCCGAATTCCGAGACTCCTGTGTGACGCCGGGTCACTTTTTCGATACTTAATCGATTGTTTGCGATACACGGGTACCCGGCCATCCGATGACAACAACAACAACAACAACAACAACAAAGGAGATAGGAATTACCACGTATTCCACACCGCCATTTTGGATCGAAAAAGCGACCCGAACTCGGCGCACACCGGGCTCGGAATTCGTCGAGCAGAACATGGCGCCAGCTCTCCCATTTACATTACGACTCTATGTACTCTATGTTTCTGACCAAAAATTTCACGGATTCAGATCTGATTCCTGAATTTCCTGAATTTTTTAGATTTCCGGATTTCACGGAATTTTCTTTCGTGCGGAAATCAGACACATTTTGGACAAAAATTGCTCAAGTACTTTTTTGGGAACGATCGAGTTGAGCAGAACATGGCGCCAGCTCTCCCACTTACATTACGACTCTATGTACTCTATGGATGAAAGTTAGACCACAGAATGTTACGAGTCGCGTCTAGAACCATTCTTCTAGAGAAGATCACTGTGCTTGAGGAGTGCCTTCTCGAAGTCGAGGACCTCGTTGGCCATCTCGCGGAAGGTGATGGGGTAGTCCTGGAGGTTGACGTCGTCGAACTCGACCGGGTACTTGGCCTTGCGGTTGATGCTGTGGAGGGCGGCCTGGTGCTTGCGGCGGATGAGGAGGTGGAACGTGAAGTGGTGCTTCCGCCAGGCGGGCCAGTAGCGCTGAAAGAGGTTGCCCTGGAACCTGATGTCGTTCCCGAAGAGCACCTTGACCCGGTGGATGAGGTCCGGGCGCCGCCAGAGCACGGATTTGGTCGGTAGCTCCCCCGCGTTGTAGTACCACTCCTCTCCCTTGTAGTTGCCGTCGTAGGTGTGGAGCCACAGGTCCAGGAAGCGGGCCTGCTTGTGCGCCAGGATTATCTGCGTGCCTGGAGCAAGGTAAAGAAGTAAACGTAGAGAGTATTCAACCACGCGGAAACTCGTGTTGCCTACACTGCCTTGCTAAGGAAAAACGCCGTATGAACCTTCAGGCGTTGCCAAATTTCCTTCAATAAAACACGAATTTCCTGATAAATTTATGAAAATTTTCCTTTCGATTTTTCAGATAATTTTGTACGCAATTTCCCCTAAAGTCCCTGAAAATTTCAAGGGAAAATATTCATAACATTCCAAAAAATTTAAACATTTTATCGAGGGAAATTTGGCAACTCTCGAATGTTCATACGGCGTTCTTCCTTAGCACGGCAGTACACCAGGGTATCTACAAATCCGGAATTCCTAGAAAATCCGGAAATACTACTGCTTTTTTCCCAAGTAGCAGTGATTGTGATAAATAGCGATTTTATCGGTTGATTATCGCGATTATATCGGTGGCAATTTATCACAATATTATCGAATAAAAAATTGCGATTTATGGCGATTAAATCGCTTTGCATTGCAATTTTTCGTTCAATAAAATCGCGATCAATTTTTGTCAATAAAATCGAAATTAAATCGCCTTATATCGCGATTTTTGTTGCGATAATATCGCGATTTTATTGCACCAAGATCGAGGAAAATCGCTCAGATGTTGATGATCTTAGCGATTTTATCTCCGACAAAATCGCAACAAATCGCGATTTTTCCGTTGAAAAATGCTACTTGGGTTAAGGGCGGTCCGGAAGCAGTGAACAAGTGCGGAAATTCCGCAAGAAGGTCCGGAATTTGTGTTATGTTTGTCGCAATTTGAGAAAGAAATTCAAATTTTCGAAAATTTTCGAATTGAAAGCACTGGAAAAGTACTGAATTTTTCTTTTGATTAGGTCCTGAAATTTTGGGAATGTACTGAAAAAGTACTGTAAAAGTACTGATTTTTGGCCAGCCTGTTTTAGTAGACACCTTGCTACACCGAAAATCGCATTGGAACCATAAAGTACCTAGGGACGTACTGTGAATGTACTTTCTGTAACTAGACTCGAGCCGCCCTACCAGGCCAGCAGCGGGCCGATTGTTGAAATTTTGTGTTTGTCGCGCGGACATAGATGACATGGGTTAAATGGCGAGGCGTGATTGGTCGGCTATGTCTTATCGCTGCTTTGTCGTGCCTTTGTCAGATGGAATGGACGACATACTGTCGGAAACTTAAGAGGTACCGATAGCTAGTCGTGAGTTCAACCGGACATAAGCACGACAAAGCAGCGATAAGACATAGCCGACCAATCACGCTCCGCCTTTTAACCTATGTCATCTATGTCCGCCTGACAAACACAAAATTTCAATAATCGGCCCGCAGGTCATGATAAATTTCTGACTGTGAATGAAACTTGCATAATTTACCAAGAAACTGGCCCTCGTCCCAACCGATGGTGAACTCAAATTTGCGAAAGGGGTTGAGGCTGCGAACGACGTACGAGTCGTTATCGAGGAAGATGCCCCCGTACTCCATGAGCACCCGAATTCTGGCGATGTCCCCACCGTGAAACACCTGCATGTCCTCCGCGATTGGTTGCCCGAAGATCTCAGTCGGCATGACGATGTCCTTCAGGATCAGCTTGTCCGTGAATTCCTTCAGTCTCATCATCCGATCCCAGAATTTACCTGTAATTAATGCGTCGCGTTGAGCAAAGGAGATGTTGGATGTGTGAGGAATTTGCGATTTGACTGCTGATTCTTATATAAAAATTCGCAAGAAACACGATGGTGCCACTGGTTTTATTTGAAATCAACTCCCAAGCTCAAAAAAAGCTCTCAATTTGAGGCCAAAATGGAGGAGATATCCCAAGCTACCCTCAGAGTCCACTTCTGCATCAAAACAAACTCTCCATGCAAAGATAGGGAGCAAATACATTAGCAGTGAATCAGTGATGCCGTGTTTTCAGTTTAGAAGAGTCTCCAAATACAGTGGCAATCCTGCTGATGTATTTGCTCCCTATCTTTGCATGGAGAGTTTGTCTTGATGTAGAGGTGGACTCTCAGGATAGCGTGGAATATCCCCTCCATTTTGGCCTCAACTTGAGAGCTTTTATTGAGCTTGGGAGTTGATTTCAGGAAAACCGGTGGCACCGTCGTGTTTCTCGCGAACTTTTACATAAGAATCAACAATCAAATCGCAAATTCCTCTCACATCATGCAATATTTACATTCATGGCCGATTTCTTCCAAACACTCGTTCCGCTTTGCGGCGCAGCAGCGGACAGCATAGGTGGGATAAAACAGGGGGAAGCGCCCTCAATGTTTCATTTATATTACAGAGACGTCTCTTAGGCACGAATAGTTGCTCTAACCAACATACATTCACATCATCCGCCTATGTGCAACTATTCGTACCCAAGAGATGCCTTTGGAGTATTAACAAAGAATTGAAAGCGCTTTGTTCCTTTAAATCCTCGTAGTGCACCCCAACTTGCCGTGGGTGATTCGATGAATGCCGATGCGTGGAGAGTCAAAACGCCTTCAATGCGGTGCGTATGCAACGCGGCCATCCGCAGAGCCCGAATAGTTGTATCGCAGCGTTTTATAAGATCGTTCAGTATTCGTCGTGTGCGATCCTAACTGAGAGCGTTTTACTTATTGCTTGTGCGGCTGAATTTAATTCAAATATTGCCTATTGTACATATGAGGTAAACTGTTATATTATTAATATTTCTGAGAAATTTGTTTCTTAAAATTAAAATTAAATGACTTGAAAACAATTTTGATTTTCGGTGTGATATTATAGAGAGGTTCTAAGTGATTATTGACCTAAAATCGGGCGCGTTAATAACTAGGCCAACCTATAGGCCGATTTTTGAAATTGATGGACACAATCATAGAAAAAGAAGATGTAGAGAAAATTGAGCAATCCTATTGGATGATTCCTATAAATTAAGGGGAAAATGACGGGCTAACCATAGGGGCTCTCGAGGAATGCCGTTAGTTATACCCCAGCTTGTATACACTTGAACGACACCATTATAAGATTTTTGAAAACTAATTAGACCAAGATGTGGCATAAACTGCTATTTTGTTAATGGAAGTCGTTTGATAAGTACAAACTCTCACGATAGCTATCAAGCCGAAAAGTTTTAGTAATTAAAATATATATTTAAAGAACGTCTTGATTTAAATGGTTTTCAAAATTCTATAAGTTTAGTGTACTTTGTCCATTGCAACAACCCGCTTCCACCAATTGGATCGCTCAATTATATCTTCGTCTTTTTTGTCTTCCGCTTTGTCCATCAATTTCAATAACGCTGAGTGGATTTTCAAGGAGTTAGACATTTTCTAGGGTGTGAATTCGATTGACATCAATCTGTCGAAAAATAAAAGCGTGAATCAATCAAAAAATTGACACCGATCCGATTGACAAATTATTCAAAATCGGTGTCGATTTGATTGACATGAATCGATCTAGAAATAAAAACGTGAACCTATCGACGTGTTTCTATTATTGACAGAATTAGATGGATCCACGGGTTTATCGATCGATTCACGGGTTTTTCGATCGATTCACGGGTTTGGCGATCGATTCACGGGTTAGTCGGTCGATTCACGAATTTGTGAATCGAATCAGTGTCGATCGAATCACATCGAACGATTTTCGGTTTTATTCTTCAATAGACATCGGTTTTTAGTAATTTGTCAATGAAATCGATGTGGATCGATGAACGGAGTTTTCGATCGATTCAAGGGTTTGTTAATCGATTTACGGTTTGTCGACCAATTCACGGAGTTGTCGATCGATTCACGGGTTCGTCGATCGAATCTTATCGATCGGTTTACGTTTTTATTCTTCAATCGAATCAACACCGGTTTTTTTAAAAAAACTTGTCCATTAAGTTGGTGTCGACCGGTTCACGGTTTTATTGGGTCAGTAGTGTTGGCCGTAGAATCGTATTTTGATGCTTGACTCTTGTAGATTAGCTAAAAATAATACAATCTGTCCAAACCGCAACTTTCTACGTTCAATATTAACCGAGATATCGCCCTTTGAAAAGTCGGGTTTTTTGACGTCATCCACCGCGGTAGTGACACCCTTGGTTTCTTCTGTCTTCATCCGGGTTTCACGTTGAATGACCAGTGTTAATGTGCTTCACTCCGACTGAACTCGAAGTCTTAGGGAAGAATTACGCGCTATAATATGCGTTTTACGCCAACTGACCGCGGCGCGCGGACTGCACTGCTTTTGGTGCAATGCGAGAAGTATTTATGCAGTCTTGTAGGCGTTAATATGCGGTTCAAGCCGACCGCTTTGTTTGGCGCAATGCGTGAAGTATCCCCACAGTCTTACTGGCGCTAATATGCGTTTAACGCCGGCTGCACTGTGTTTAGCGCGATTATTCGGACTCGCGTTAGAATAATCGCGGCACCGACTGCATCGTAAGGGTACGTCACCACCGCGGTGGATGGCGGCAAAAACCCGACTTCTCAAAGGGCGATATCTCGGTTTATATTGAAAGTAGAAAGTTGCGGTTTGGACAGATCTTCTCATGTTTAGCTAATCTACAAGAATCGAGCATCAGAACACGATTCTGTGACCAACACAACTAACCCATGTTCAATGGATTCATGCGGATCGAATCCGTACCAGTGTTCGAAACTCACATTAGAGTTTTAGGCGCATAAAGCTTGATTTTTACGGCCCATTGAAGATTTTTTAGGGGCCAAATTAAATTTTTGCCTATATTACGGCGCATTTAGTGAAAAGTTAAACGCAAGATGTTTTAGTTACAAAACTAGTAGCTGTAACTGAAAGAAGATTTCGAAAAATCACCAAATTTAGAAATTAGAATTTTTTTGAGGGGTGGGGGAGACGGGGGCAACTTTTAGGCGCCACGTTGGCGCAGAGCCTTCATTTTTTAGGAGCCATGACCGATGTTTTGGGTTCGCGGAACTTAGTTCGAGGAACTTGTTCCCGGAACAAGTTTTAGCTGAGCTAAAAACTTATTCCTTCAAAACTCGGAACTTCCCCCGTACTCCGAGCTTCTACATTTGTTTATTTTGATGTGAATTAGTTTGTTTTTGTTTTTTACGTCCTCTACATGTCTTGAAATTTATTTTTGTTACTTTGAAGACCGTATAATCTATGCAATAATTGTATAGTTTTATTGAAGTTCCAGTTCCAGTTCGGGCGAACTCGTGTGGACAGCATGCCTCGTTTAAAGGAACAAGACCCGGGAACTGAGCAGTTCGTCGAATAAGTTCCTCGAACCACGCTCGTGTGGACTAGAGTCCCTTTATACTGAGAGTCAAGACAATGTGAATCCATTTCTGATTGGTTCCCGTATTTTAGGCCTTCACAGTGTCATAAACGGGAATAAAGATTACAGTTTTACCGATTGCAAAGATTATAATCTGGAATGGACCGGGGAATTACGGGTTCGGCAAGGAACAAACGGAATGAGGGAAGGAACGAAGAAAGGAATTCGAGAATGGGTCGATCAAAGATTACGAAAAACGTTCAATTTGTGTAATCTTTATTCCCGTTTGTGACTCCATGAGGGGTGTTGTCTTGACTCTCAGTATAAAGGAACTCTAATCGGAATTGGTTCGAGAATTTGATCGTCTATCGAGGCCTTGTGAGTTTCGAACACTGATTCATAGCCTCCGGAATGTCTCGGTGTCTCACCATGAAGTTGACGCTACCTTTGAGCTGGACGTTGGAGTGGATGTAGATCTTGTCGGGGTTGTGGTTGCGGAGGCAGGCGAGGAGGCTGACGAACATGAGGAAGCTGACCTCCGGGTTCCTCATCACGATGAAGTGGACGATGTTGGGCACGATGTCTTCGTCGGCCCCGGTTTCGTTGTTGATCAGAGCGAACGGGTTCGGCAGGAACGCCAACCGGTCCAGCACATCCCCCGGCGGACCAGTTCTATTCGTCGGCTCGGATTCCGGCTTCGGGGTCGCTGGTTGAATCTGTCAAATATAAGGATCGTGTTCTTAGTCGTTTTTTAGAACAGGTTTAAATTGGACTGTATTCTGCAATTTGGAAATATAAATTCTGGCCTGCCTAAATACAACGTATGTGCCAGTAGTTTTCCTATGCACATAAATATTTTTTCAGATGAGCCAGACTTTAAAGTTCCAAATTGCAAAATGCAGTTCAATGGTCCAGAGTTTATACTACCGGGAAAACCCAGGGTATAGAATTTTGAGTGAAAACCCAGGGAATTCGACGACGACCTCTGGAATTTTTGCTTTTTCAAAATCCGCGGGTTTCATCAATAAAAAGTCCCATTTTGCTTGACTCTTATCACTTTAATACAATCCAATATTTTTTAGAATAGGATTGTGTGGTATTGATGTTTAATAAGAAATTTAGAAGGCAGGAGAAGCCTCTCTTAGTCGTCAGCTATCAGAGCCCCGAGTTAGTGATTGTTTTTCACCTCTATGTCGGATGAGTTGTCGTAGAGAATTACTTTATGATGCCATCACTCAGGGAAAATACAGGGAAACCCCAAGGAATTTGAAAGTTGAAATAAAGTAGAATCCCTGATTTTCATCTTATCAAAAAAGGCAGGGAATGAGGAAATTTAAGAATTCATCAGTCAACATTAGACGATTCCTAGCGTTGACTTATCACGAATATAACGTTTTCGGTGAATGGAACAT